GATTGTATACTGCAAGCGACTCTTTTGCTCTTCCTGTTTTGTCACACCAACGTATGAAAGAATCATCTTCTTTGACTGCAGAACAGATTGAGGGTCAGGACCGTACACTACCAACTCAAACTTCTCAACGTTTGAGTCGACGCGCTTAAATGGTTCGTTGTGTGTATGATTTTGGATGTGAATCTGCTTAAGACGTTCAGCCTTCTTAGCAAGTAAGAACTTGATGCGATGCGTAGGAATTTCACAGACCTCAGAGTAGTCTTTCGGCTTGCTAACAGAATCGTTAGGCCGCCGAGGCCCATTTTCCGCCATTTCCCTATCATAAATTTCCTTGTCATGACTATAGCGGCAGCGGTCACCGAACTTGCACTCTCCTGAAAAGAAGTGGTTGCACGCACGTTGACGACCCGGGAACGAGGTGTTCGTCTCACTGTTGCTGTTGTTGTTTATGCTGCCTCCGCCACGACCACCACGGCTTACACCACGCCCCATGCCACCGCGTGTGGAGCCACGTGGAAAAGAAATGCCCACACGACCCCCGTCATCCGCGTTGCGTGGAGGATTGATGTTTGCTGCCTGTGACTGCTGTCTCTTTTCGTGCGTCCCACGGTTTGAAATGGCGTGAATGATAAGATTCCTCTGCTCATCGTCAGGAACAGCCTCGCGGAGTTCTTCTTCACTCAGCTTGCGCAGGTTCACAATACGATCCAGCTTCATCTCCTTGAACTTCGGAATTAAATCCGATAACTTGAGGCGCATCAACAATGAGTCTACAGCGCTGTTCATGATGTTGAAGTTGGGACTGTCTTGGTTCAGTTCTCTTAATTTACTCCTTTTCCCTCTCTCTCTCTCTATATATATATATATATTTCGCGGTTGTTTTCTTTTCAGTGCGAGTGAAACAGTAGAGAGGGCAGAGACAAAACCACATGTAAATAAATTAAAACATAACACCTAATAACAAATCAACCAACAACAACAACAGTCACACACACACACGCACACGAGACAGAAACAAAGGCAAGCCGCGCTCATCTCGTCTACAAGGTTTTTTCATGCGACAGTACAGACAGACACAGAAATGTACTCACGCGCACTCTCCCCCGCTCCATCCTCCAGCAGTGCGCACCTCATGGATGAGTAACACTCACTTTTCTCCGCTGAAACTTCAACATCCATTTTAGTTCGTCCACCTCAACGCGGCTGCCGTACTTGCCAAAATCCGCCTCTTCCAGCTTCTCATCTACAGCATGAGAAGGAGACTGAACCAGTTTCTGCAAGGCATCACGTGACCAACGCATAACTTTCTCACACAGCTGCTGCTCCTCTTCTTTTTTACACCGTGACACATGACAAATGTGTTGACAGCCAATTTCCTTTTCTCTATCATATGCCCTGATAAAAGAAGATATCAAAAGTTGAACAGAACCTCGTTCTACAGCAAGGGTTGCATTGGCCGCATCAAGCATAGTCAAGGTGGCCAAGGCAACCGCACCTCCAAACGCCAATTGGAGTGAACTTGTACTCTCGTTCATAATCTCTATTATATAAGGAATAGATGGACGCAACATTCGACGTACGTTCCCGTCATTCATACATAGCGTACTAATCAAGTCAAAAACTGCAAAAATTGTGTCCTCAGGTAAACTCTTATGATCTTGAAGAATGAGAACACATAGGCTAAAAACACCAAAGCGTGTTGCTAGTCCCCTGTTTTCCTCTCGCATACAAAACCGAGCCAGTAAACTCAGCACGGAATGAACGGTAGCAACCTGGGGAGGTGTGTTTTCAGCTAATTCAACGCAAAGCGACATGCATGTCTCCGTCAGGAGAGGAATTTGTTCCGCTAATTCCAGAGCCAGGGCAATGTTTTTTAGTTTTATCGCCGCGTCCAGTGACGACGCCCCTGAAGGAAACGCCAACATGCGGTTCAGTGTGGCTTCAATATCATCAATCATCGTGTGCTACAGGCCCATTGTTATTATTATTATTATTGTTCTCAGCAACAAATGAAGCAAAAAAAAAAAAAAAAATGTCACAAATAATAGCTTGCCAACGCCCAGCATATCAACAATACATCCTGTTTAACAATAATAAAGAGCAATAAAAAAAAAAAAAAAACGAACAGAGGAAACCAATCCATGTTTGTTTGCCTCTCAAGTTTCACGGTACATCGATCAGGAATGCTTCTTTTCTTTCTTTTTATATCTCTTCTTTTCCTTCTTTTTTTTTTTTTGAAATCTCTTTACATCCATTCTTTGGCACAGCAGTCCTCAGATATCAAAATAACAATGTCTTGTCGAGCTTCTTTCGTCAACCTTTCCGCGTCCAGTAACAAATCGACAATACACCGACATTGTTGCATGCTGAGATGCTTAAGGGAACTGGCCTCTGCGGCAACACGAATAAGTGCAGAACATCCCTCAGTTTGGAGGGGGTTGTCATCTAAAATAAGAGTGGTGAGTGCGGAGGTAGCCAACAAACCCTTTGCGATAGCTTCAGCGCCAATAGGACCAATTCTATTATGCGCTATAATAATTTCCTCAATGGCGTTTTCACCAATAATTCGACCCACAAGTTGCGCACAGGTGTCGTCCAAACCATCTGAGCTTAAGTTGAAGCGCTTGATTGTGTTATTCATTAACAGCCCCTCTTTGAGAATATGGCAACTTCCCATTGTTTGAAATTGATTCCACTCTAGGTTAATTTCACGTAGGTCTCCATTACGGGAAAGAATTTGGGCAACATCAATTGCACCAAGGTAACCAATTTTGTTAAAGCTAAGGTCAAGAGAATTCAACTCCGTGTTGTCTATTGCAACCTCAACAAACTCTGCAATATGCTGATCGCTTAACCCATTGTCACGTAGTGACAATGTTTTCAATACATTACCGGCTCGAAGTAGTTCCGCCACTACTGCGCCACCCCGAACCGTTTCTCCTGGGTCCCGAGCTCCCAACTTGTTCTGACCAAAATCCAGCAAGGTCACAGTTCTTGACTCTGATAGTGATCGCGCTATTTCCATTGCCCCTGCAGGTGTAATATGATTTCCAACAAGAGAGAGAGTCTTGATAGAGAGATTAACACGTAGAGCAGCAGACAAAGCGATGCTGCCTTTTTTCTTGAGTCCAAAAAAACTGAGGTCAAGTGATTCTTTTCCATCGCAGATTCTTCGTGCAACACTTCGGGTTGGAAATTTCATGAATGACTCTTTATGCAGCTTTTCGCATGCATCCAAGTAGGCCAATTTCCCAGAAGGATCATCTTCGGGGAGTTCAGGAACTGTGAATTGGTAATTGTACAATTCTTGCAATTGTTCTTCAATCAACTGCTCCTTCGTTTTTGTAGGAGCCACCTCTTCGTATGCCTCAAGGAAACAAAGTTCTTCAGATTCCTGAGTTCCAATGGAAGTAATCGAAGATGCCATTGTCCTTTAAAAAAGATATAAACATAGTAATAAACAGAAAAAAACAGGGTGAAAAAAGTTTTATATCGAGAAAAACATTCCCGTTACAAAATAAAATTTTTTCAAAATACTGCGTAAATATTAATGCAGATAATAATAATAATAATAATAATAAGTTGCAATAACCAAGCAAAAAATAATAATAATTATTATTATTAGTGGTGGATAAAAAATGGCAGTCTTAAGATATATTCTGCAAGACATGTTTGTAAATAAACGCCGCTGCCTCTTCTAAACCTCTGTCTAGATAAACAGCTCCAATCATAGACTTCACACACCCCGCACAATAAGGATCGGGAGTCTGTTGTTTCCCATTTGATGACAACCACTGCATAAGGCCCGCCGTAGACCTTAATGTTTTTCCTTGAAATAGCTGTACTGAAGCATCTGTGAGCACCATATCCTCCATTTCCCAGTGATATCGCAATACTGAACTAAGTGTTGCATCGGACAATAAAAACGACATTAATAGAAGCACTTCATCGCGCTTCAGATCTCTAAAGGCGTTTACAATCAAGCACTCCCCGACAGACGCCAGTAACGCCTCACCTATAGAAGTTGTTGCATTCATTGTTGAATTCATCGCATCAGATGTGGTGAAACTAGGATGTATAAAGGCGCGTAGATAAAGAACATGGTGCTGCCGTTTAATTTCAGGAAACTGTTTTTGAAGTCTTCTAGAAAGCTCTGAAGTCCATTTGGGAGGCGGAGCGAAGGACAATGAGCGAAGCGGTGGCGATGGAAAAAGAAGCACTTTGCATAGTTTTATGCTATACTTCCGTTTTTCCGTCAAAGCAGAGACAACATTCACAATTTGTGAAAATAAAAAGCAAGAACGCCTCATGCTTCGTAAAAATGCACACAGTCCTCTTTGAAATCAAAAAATGGAATGCGTAAACACACACAGACACAACAAAAAAAAAAAAAAAAAATAAATAATAATAATAATAATAATAATAATAAATCAGGAGCATAATTCAGGTAGAAACATACATAAGAATTATTTACACTTCCTCCTCCATCTTTTTTTTTTTATTATTTTGGACTTAATATCGCTACACAATTCACAAAATACAGAAAAACATTCTGTTGTGATAAAGCAGACAGTAAGGCAAAATAATACATATAAGGTCGATCTTGTACATGCAAAGGATCTCAAATAGATCAAATCAAAAACAACAACAAAAATGATGGAGACAAGTTAAAAAGGCATAAAATAACTACACCAACAAAAGAGCGGCAAGTCTCCTCCTCATCGCCAAATCGCTATCATTTTTTAATTCTACAGGTGTTCTTCGAGGAGTTTTGAATGGATCAAGAAATGTGGATCTATAAGATGAAAAAGAGCGCCCTTCCTCTGAAAAATTTGGCAAAAAGCGCGGTGAAATTTGTTCTGAGGACAAAAATTCCGAGGCATCACGTTCTCGACCTAAGCGAAAATTACTGGAATACACATCAGGCACAATATCCATATTTTTGTGAAAATATGAAGGGATAGTTTGATGCATCAAATAAGTTTGGCGTCCTATTTTGCGGTTGAGATCGTCACTTTGTACATCCTCTTCAATGAGAGCATTACGACAACAAACAGGTTTTGAATAACTATTCGCGTTCTTGAAAAAATCCTTTTCCTTCGTCGCTTCTTTATTACAAGGATCATGATAAGCAATGCTCTCCAAAGGTGACTTTTCTCGTATCTCGACTGCCTGCGAATGTGGTCTTTCATATGACGCAAAAAATCTGGATCCACTTCTTGAAGAGGTGGGGCAAACAAATACGGAATTCTGGTGCCGTTCTTTTGTTGCATCAATAAGGGCTTTCAATCTATCCTCTTCAACTGTTTGGTTCATCCAAACAAATAAAAGCTTTCGCTCCGTTAATTCCTGTTCAATAACAGCCTCACGTGATTTAGTTTGCAATTTTATAATTTCCAATACCGATGCGCGAATAGACTCTAACTCAGTAATGGAGGTAAGTTTATCTTCTAATTTCTTAAGTTGTGTCATCGCCTCATTTGAAATTTCAGTTCGGCACCGTATCTCCTCCACACATAGTAGATTCAAGGCTTGTCTAATTACCGGTTTAATTTTTTTATCCTCTTTTAGAAAACCTCGACGCATCCCGGCATCACCGTTTGATTTCAAGTTCCCACTTTTACTTAACCAATGCAATCTTTTAGGTGCGTTTTCACCCATGGTGCCACTTGGCTGATGTGTAGCTTTTGATGGCAAACACATTCCCGGTCGCATAGGTGAACGCTCATTAGAAGCAAAATGGGGCAATGAAGGACCTATTCGTACGGCATTATTATGTGGTCCAC